CCCTCATCCCCGAACCCTGATCCCTCATCCCTGATCCCCGATCCCTCATTCCCGATCCCTCATCCCCAAATCCCGATCCCTGATCCCTCATTCCTGATCCCTCATTCCTGATCCCTCATTCCTGATCCCTCATCCCTGATCCCTCATCCCCGACCCCTCACCCTTGCTCCCTTGTCCCTGATCCTTGATCCCTTATCCCTGATGCCTCACCCCTGATTCCTCATCCATGATCCCTGATCCTTGATCCCTCATCCCTCATCCCTGACCCATCATCACCAACCCCCTGATTCCTGAACCCTCATCCCTGATCTCTCATCACAACCCACAATTCCTTCATCCTGACCCCCTGATTCCCAACCCTCGATTCTCAATCCCTGACTCCTGACCCCCGATTCCCAACCGCCTCATCCCCAATCCCGAAATCCCTGATTTGCAACCTTGATTCCCAATTTCTGCACCCCTCCCGATTGTAAACCCACTTGTTTCCCAATCCCCGATTCCACAACCTCCGATACCTGATTCCTGATCCCCGATCCCCAAAGCCCTGGCCTGCAAACCCTTCTCATTTCTACAACCCGAATTCCCCAAACAGTAAGGAAAATTCCAATGAGCAGACCATGGGTGGTTGATACAAATGCTCAGTTTAGAGGGAAAAAAAGAGCCTGGAACTGTGCAAAGGCACAATGGGATATAATGAAAAAGCAACAAAAAAATTACCAAAGAAAAGCATTAAGGTGGGAAAAGTTTAAGTTCGAGAGAAAGCTAGCCAGAAATATGAGAACAGTTAACAAGAAAAGGCTAATTTTCCAGAGCTCTCCAGACTCAGGGAGGATCCCATTAATTTGGAACACCTTAATTCCAAAACGGAGGGACTCCAAAAGCAGGAAACTACAGGGCCGGTTAGTTTAACACGAGTCATAGAGAAAATATCAGTTGGGCACTTAGATATGTTAAAGGTAATCAGGCAAAGTCAACATAGTTTTGCGAAAAGCAAATCATGTTTGACCAATAGAGTTCTTTGAGGAACTAACATGTGCTGTGGATAAAGGATAACTGTTAAATGTGTTACACTTAGATTTTCAAGAAGCATTTGATAAGGTCCTACATTATAGGTTCTTGTGGAATATAAAAGCTCGTGATGGACCGGCAGCACATTGACACAGATAAGAAATTGGCCGGCTAACGGAAAAAAGAGGATCTTTTTCAGGTTGGTAGGATGTAAGTGGAATGTCAAGGGATCAGAGCTGGTGCCTCAACTGTTTACAAGTTATGTAAAGTACATGGATGAAGGCAGAGGAGATATAGTTGTTATGTTTGCCAATGATGCAAAGATAGGTGGGAAAGTAAGTTGTGATAAGAACATAAGGAGGCTACAAAAACATACAGGTGAACTAGATTTGGCAAATGAAATGTAAAATGTAGGAACTGATCACTTTGGCAGGAAGAATAAAAAAAAGGCATATTGTCTAAATGGTGAGAGGTTACAGAGCTCTGAGATGCAGAGGTATCTGGGTGTCCTAGTGCATGAATCACAAAAGGTTAGTCTGCAGGTACAGCAAGTAATCAAGAAAGTGAATAGAATGTTATAATTTATTGTGAGAGGAACTGAATATAAAAGTAGGGGGTAAGGGATAGTAAGAACTGCTGGAGTCAGAGTCAATACAGTGTGGAGCTGGAGGAAAACAGCATGTCAGGCAGCATCAGAGAAGCAGGAAAGTCGAGGTTTCGGGTTTATACCCTTCATCAGGGTAAAAGTAGGGAAGTTGTGTTTCGGTATCACATGACACTGGTGAGACAAGATCTGGACTGTTGTGTACAGTATTGTTCTCCTTATTTTAGGAAGCATTGGAAGCAGTTCAGAGAAGGTTTACCAGACTAATACCTGGAATGGGTGGTTGTCTTATGAGGAAATATTGGACAGACTAGGCTTGGGTCCACTGGAGTTTAGAAGAATGAGACAACTTGATTCAAACCGATGAAAACCTGAAGGATCTTGACAAGTTGGATATGGAGACACTGTTTCCTGTTGTGGGAGAATCTGGAATGAGGAAACACTGTTTAAAAATAAGAGGTGGCCCATTTTAAAAAGAAACAGGGCATTTTTTTTCCCTCTTGAGCATCATTAGAGTCAACATTTTTTTGTTCATTGTTGGTGTGTGGGAATTGCTGACATGGCCAGAATTTATTGCCTATCTCTCATCGCCCACTTGAGCCGCCACTTTGAACCATGTGGTGTAGGGACACCCATAGTATTGTTTGATTTTTCCTTAGTGTTTTGGTTCAACTGCATAATGGAGAGCATTGGAGGTTTGAACACATGCCTGTCACATGTAGTCCAGACTGGGCAAGGGTTGTGGCTGTGTATTGAGTTTGTGAAGGTGGCTTTGCACCGAGGGTCAGAGGGAATTTGGGGAGCTGTGTATTTAGCGTGTGAGGGAGGATCTACGCTGAGGGTCAGAGGGAATAAAGGCTGTCTGTGTCTGGCAGTAGGGGGATGTTCTGCAGTCGGGTGAAAGGCTTGCCAAAGGATTGGGGATTTCGTCACCTCTGGCTCAGTCCCAGTGGTTCACTGTGACACTCTGTATGTCTCAGTCTCTAGAGTTGAAGGCAGTTCCACTGCAGACTGGAGAGGAGGCTGAATACATGCTGGCGTTAAAGCAAGAACTGCGGGGAGCCATGAGGAGCCTGCCGTACTATGTCAAACCTGCTGCGCCGAAGAAAGGTACTGTCAGAGTCTAAGACGTGTTGTACAAGGCCATTCCCTTGGTCACTGCTCTCCCAGCCCCTTCCCTGTCTCTGTACAACTGCCCCAGGCTGTGCTTCCCTGCTCTGAGATAAGGATAATTTCATTTGCAGGGGGTGATGCTGGTTTCAGTCCTGAGGCGTTTTGGGAGAGGCGATAGGGTTAGGGTTAGGGGTGACGGTTAATTCAGTCCCCGGGCGGTTGGGCGTGTGATGGAGATTTCTAGGATGTTGGAGTGGGGTGTAGTGCCGGTGATTTCACTCCTGAATTTTGGGGAGGGTTGCTTATAGTAATTTCAGTCCCTGGGGGTGACGGTGATTTCAGTCCTAGGGTGACAGTGATTTCAGTCCCTGG